ATCGATAGAAAATTCATATTGAGGGATTAAACTTAAAGTATTTAAAAAAGTAAAATAAATTCTATTAAGAGCTGAAATTTCAGTATATTCTTTCAAAACTGTTTCGTATTTCATTTTTTTTAAAAAATTACGTATTTAAAATTCTAATCGGTCAATAGACTGATTAGATATTATCTTTAAATATAACTTTATTATTATTATTAATAAATCTACTTTGACTAAATATATATTTGCTATTACATATATGAAATTCTGAATAATAATATTGTTTACAATCAATACAAAAATATTTTTTTTTATTATCTTGAATAACAAAACCATCATTAGTATTATAATCTAAAAATCTTTTAGAAATAGTTGATTCAGTTATGATATTATCATTGTTGTCAAAATCTTCTTCAGAATAAAGTTTTCATTTACATTGTTTATAATAATTTTGTTTATAAATAAAATCACAACTATCACAATAATAAAAATAATGATTGTGATTAGTTAATCAATTTTTATAAAACTTTTTAGTATCATATTTTTTGTTTATAATTATAAATAGTTTTTTTTTGTTGTTTAATTCGTAAGCTTTTTTGAATTAAAATATTTGAATTTGAACTAATTTCAATATAAAAATTATATAAATTAATTGAATCTTTTTTTTTAAAAATCAAAAGATTATTTTTTGATTTTATTTTTATTTACAAAATTAAAATTCTATTTGGTAAAAAACTAAATAGATGCTAAATAGTTAACTTCTTCAATCTCTTCTACCTCTTCAACATTTTCTTTTTTAAATTTAGTTTCTAAATTATTAAAATTTTTTAAACTCATATTAATATCAGTAGTAGTTCTATTAAGAGTTTTTAGCCATTCAGAAGCATGTTTATAATTAACATTTTTTCTATTAATAGGCATTTTGATTTTAATTTCTTCAATTTGTGAAGCTTGATCTTTTTGAATATTTCTCAAAATTTCGATCATTTCTAAATATTCTTCAAGACAGGGATAACAATTAACAAGAGAATTTTCAAGAAGAATTAAATTCATTTGCCATCCTTTTTTAGAACAATAAAAGTCAATTTTTTCTTTTGGAAAAATTGTTCTTTTCTTTTTATTATAAGGAGCTGAATTAATACTGTTTTTTTGTTATGATTGTTTAGGCATTTTAAATTTATTTGATTTGATTAATTGGTGATTCATCAGTCACCTGGTGCATGATCATAGTGTAACGTATAACATGATACAGATCACTATGTAAATCACATATACTCTAAATGTAGTGATTACACAAGGAAAACTTTTTTCATACTACGTTAATCACTCTTCTGTATTAAGTTAAAATTGTAGAGCTTATCGAGACGCATCTAACGGTGGTTAGATCATCCAAATCGACCTAGCCAATAGTGAGATATTGTCAAAAATAATTGGCTGACTATGTAAAATTCTATATAAACAAACTATTGTTTATATAGAAATTTTACATAGTTAGCCAATTGTTTTTTGATGATATCTCACTATTGGCTAGGCCAATTTGGATGATATAACCACCGTTAGATACATCTTGATAAGCTCTACAATTTTGACTTAATACAGAAGAGCGATTAACTTAGTACAAAAAAAGTTTTCCTTGTGTAAACACTACATTTAGAGTATATGTGATTTACATAGTGATCTGTATCATGTTATACGTTACACTATGATCATGCACCAGGTGATTGGTGAATCACCAATTAAAGAATTACATAAATAAAATTTTAATCAGTACAAAATTGTACTGATTAAAATTATGGAGATTTAGGACACTATTCAGGTGATTTTAATACATATTTTTCAAAAAAAATACTTTGTTTAAAAAGACAATCAATTCTTTTTTCTGTAAATTTTTCAATATCAATATCTTTAGCTTTTTTTCTTTTAATAACTTTATTTTTAAAATCTTTAAGTAATTTTAGTTTGTTTTTATAAATAAAAGCATTAGTAGAATTAAATTTTTAATCCAAAGAAATAAATCATAATCAAATTTTAAATCTCGTAATAATTTTTTAAATTTTATTAAAGATCCTTTTTCATTCAAAGAACCTAATCATTCTTCTTTAGGATATTTTTTATTCACACTTTGTAACAATTTAAAATAACGATAATGTTTTCTAAATAAACATTCCCAATTTGTATGCTGAGAATCATATTGCCATAAATTCTCACAAAAAGTTTTTTCTTGTTTTTTTTAGAAAGCTATGATTGCATTTATATTTAAAAAATATAAAATAAGGTATGTATTCAGTATATTCTAATAAATCAAATTTTTCATTTAATTTTCTTTTTTTATAAAGAATAATATCTTTAAAAGATATTGAATTCTTTATAATAAAATGTTCATGTAATGTTTTTTGATTAATTTTTGAAAACTTTGAAAAGGGAGTTATAATATCTTTTTGGATAGATATTGTAAAATAATTAAAAAAAATATTTAATTATTTTTTGAAAACACCAATATTTCTTTCAGTTATCAAATCTTATGATTTGATGCAGTTAAAATAAGGTTGTTTTTTTAGTCTTTTTATATATATATATATATTTTTTTTGACAATATCGGCAGCCTTGCCGGTATCTTTATTAGATCAAAGCATATATAATTACATATAATTAACTATCTAAGTTATAGATCCGAAATCTTTTGGCTGCCCCAAGGGGTACCCAAAAGTAGTCTGCCTCACTAGTTAAGACTTTTGCCTGTACCAGAGGGCTATATCAAGCTAGCTATTGAAGCCATACCAGAATAGCTTTATTTTATTTACACAAAAGTTTTTAACTACAACTAACCAAGATTTTTTTTTTTTGTTTTTTCTTCCTCTTTAGCTTTTCCTATTTCTTTCTTTTTAATCTTTTTTCTGGTTTGATCTTGGTTTATAACAAAAACTCCTGTAGATTCTTGCATCTGTCTTGTGCTAAGACTTGGGCCTTCTGTTTTTGGCCTATTTTTCTTCTTCAGTTTCATATCGATTCCTTCTATCTTTTTCCATTCGTTAACTACTATGTATCTTCGCTTCTATATATTTTCAAAAAAGAAATTCCATACTAGGTTTACCATAGTTTCTAGGTAGTTTTTCGCATCTTTTAGTAGTTTTATAGTACTGAGAATTTTTTTAAAAATCTTCTTTTGAACTAGGCCTTTAAGGATACTGATTCTTGTTTTGTTTTTTTTCTTTTGACAGTTTCCAAAACATGGTCTCAAGGTTTTCTTCATTGAGTTGATTTCTTGCTTCTCTTAAGAGGTTTGCCCAAGCTAAGTTTGATACAATTTGTTCTAATTCTCTCCATTTTTCTTCATATTTCTCGTATTTAGATAAATGATCTTGATCTTTCTCTTCATTTTTTCTACAAACTATACAGAAAGAATTTTGGTACAAATTTGGTTTTCTATTAACTAAAGTCTTAAGAACTAGTAGTTTTTCGTGAAAGCACTTAACCAGAACACCGAAGCACTTGTTTTTTTTGGGTTAGTATATCTAATTCCAGATTGGCTTTTAATTTTTCTCCCAAAAATAGGCCAGTGGTATATATTTGCTGCGTTTTCAGATTCTTCCTTCAGTATTGCTAATGTTGATCTCCAATCTATACTAGTTTGGAAGTTGAGAATTGTTTGTATAAACTGTCTAGTTGATTTTTCTACTGTTAGGTCTTTCTAGCACAAAGAGACATTTGATTCTTGAGGAGGCTTTTCTACAATACTATTTTTATCTTCTATTTTGGCTCTTTTCTTTGCTAATTTATCTGCTAAAGTATTTCATCTATTTTCACTATAACCCTTAACTTTTACTAAATTTAGCTAAATATTCTTAATTCTAATTATATTAACTATGCTACTTATCAAACTATGATTTTCTTTATTTAGGATCTGTCATACTTTTTTTTTTTTTTCTTCCCTCTATATCTTCTATTGCCAAAATACTGTCTGTATAAATCTTGATTTTTCTTTTTTTTGGTGCGATAAGAAGTATCCACCAAATTCTCAGCAGTTCAGCTTTCATTAAGAATAGCCAATTTTTTGCTCTGAAATAGCTTTCATCTAGCAATTTACTTTCATCTTCATTCACCTGTAACCAACTGACTTCTATCTTGATTGTCTCATCTTGTGAAGAACTATTATTATTTCTTACTGATTTATCTGTATAGAAAGTCATTGAATATTGAGAACTTTCTTTTGTCATTATGTTTCTTTTAATAAGATCTTCCTGCATCTTTACACTAATGTGTTGCTTTTTAATAATTTTTGTATCTAGATTGAGAATATGAATCTCTTGAAGTTCTCTTTTGTTTGCTAGTAATTTAAATACAGAGAGTTTTTGAGCTAGTATAAGAGCTTTATGATTAACTTTGAGGGTACTTTCTCTTTGTTTGTTTACGTATTTCGAGATAGAGCTGCAAATTTTGTTTTCTTTAGTTATTGACTTGCAGGTACCTTCTTCTTTTCTCTGATTTAATTCACAACCATTACACTTTTCTAATTTGGTATATAATGTATTTAGATCTTTTTTTGTTCTCCAATATTCTATTATGGTCTTCTTCTTCTTTTTCTTGATAACTTTCTTGATAATCGGAGGTTGGTTTTCTTTGTTCTTTGTTCTCTGGGTTAAAACCCACTCTTTTTTTCTACTATCTTCATCAAGTGGGTCTGAGACTACTCGGAGCATCCAGGAGTTCAAGTTTTCTAACTTGAACTTCATTTTAACAGTTTTACTCTCTTCATTTTCTAGCACTATCCTTTCTATTGCTTAAAACTATTTCGCTTTTTTACTTTTGCTTAAGTTATTTTTGAGGATCTTTAATTGTTGCCAGGTAATTAATTGATCTCCTGTGCTAGTTAATAATTGCTTGAGTGAGATTAAATTCAGTTTTTTTAAGGTTTTTACCACCATTATTGTGAAGTTTTCTTTAAGTATAATTGCTAATCTAAACTCTTTGCTTTCTGTTATGAGGTCTGAACTTCTGAATTTGAGTGTAATTCCTAATTCTCTGGCATTTGGCATTGTTTAACAAGCCAAATTATTCTTCTACAGGTGTGTATATATATTAGGTGGCTCTTTGTGTCATGTGTTCTCTGTTGCCCCTATAAGTCTTATACTATGTATTATTCTCAATAATGTCAGAATCTCTTCTGAGCTTGAGGTATTTAGTCAGAGATATAGACTTGAGATCTGTTTTGCTAACAATTTGTTTCATAAAGCATTATAGCTGCCAATGTTTCTATGCAGGACTATACTATTGTTGGTTATTTTTGCAAGCTCCATTTTGTTTTTTGTTAGTGCAAATATAGGGGACTATAAGCTATCGATTATCTTCTGTTTAAATCTAGAGGCCTGCAGAATATAGCATAACTTTGGCACTATACACATATTATTAATGTATGCTACCTGTGCTATAGATAGTTTCTTTGGATTTAAAATTTTTGTAGTTGAGTAAACAATTTCCTTGGCTCTGGCTTTAACTAGAAACTTGTCTAATCTGTTGTTCAGCCAGACTCCTAAAAATCTTGTGATCTTGTTCTTTTCTTTTTCTGATAGCTACTCTTTTTCGAAGAAAAGTTTTTGATTTTCTTTGCTTTCTGTTAAATTGCAAATAATCAGCTTAGACTTTTTTTATTAATCTGTATATTATTAAATTCAAAGAATTCTTCTGCTATCTGTATAGTTTTTTCTATTTGCTTCTTGCTTTTTGCGATCTATATCATATCATTAGCATAAGCAACTACTACTTATCTCTAACTTTTTCTTATTGTTTGGTTTAAACTATAATTAAATAGAATTTTTTGCATAACTGTGTAATCTAGTTTAGAATCTTCTTGAATTCTTGAGAGGAGTGGGTCGTAAAAGATCTTCCAGACCAGAGGTGATAGTACTTCTTCTTGTTCGATACTGTTATTTATTTCAAAGCATTATGTAGTACTCAAATCTGTTATAATTTTAGACTATCTATTCTCAAACAGATTTAGAATAAAGAATATCATTATCTGTGAGATCTTGAGTCTTCTCATTGCCAATTCTAGAGAT